GAGTGCGGTCTTGTGTTGATAGCGTTGGAATAGGAGTTAGTTGTTGAGGAGAGGCTTTATCTTCTCCTTACTTACATCATACACTCTACTTTATGAACGGCAATAAAAAAATTAGTTTAGTAGGCATTCTTGACCATGTCACTTCGCCGGGTCACAGGCTAGGGTGGATATGATTTGAATTTCGATAAAATTTCAATTAATTTATTTATTTTATTCACTTTTTTTTGTTTTTTGTAAAATATCAGCGCCATAGGCTTCTACTCCGTTTATATGATTAAAATGTAAAAATTTTGTTATATAAAAAAAGGTCATTCAGTATCACTGTTTTGTTAACTTCTTTCCGCGAGGGTTGCCGGCAGCGACTGCCAAAAGAAATCGGGCCGATGCGCCTACACACACGCAGTAAGGAGGGGGCGGTGCCCCGATCTAGGAAGCATCGGCTGATCTAGGAAGCATTTTTGCTCCTGCCAGCCGATTAAGGAGGCGATATCGGCCACGACTTAGGATGGCCCTACATACGACACGATTTAGAGGCAATCTAGGAGGCATCCCCACTACTCCACCCTAGATCGCCACCGATATCGTGTCGTATGTAGCCCGCTTAAGCCCTCGAATGTCGCCAATTTGGCCAATATGGTGCATCTGTCAAGCGCTTCCTGAAGTACTTCCAGACTACTTCCTGCTGTTCATTAAAATGACTATTTCCAAGACATTTTGTATGAAAGGTATACATCTTAAAATCATATATATATATAATCGGGATCTCGGAAACGGCTCCAACGATTTTCATAAAATTTAGTGTCCAGGGAGATTCGGGGATAAAAAATCGATCTAGCTAGAATTTATTTTTAGAAAATGTCTTTTTGTCCGTGTTTTTAGGCAATGAAAAACTGCTACAATATCGTTAGAATAAGAAAGTAAATTTTGACAGATTGTTAATGATTATATTATATATATATATAGCTTAATTGGTATAATGGGCGGTCACAGAATCGTAAAACCCCGGTTCAAGCCCAGACCGACCGACCGCCTTTTTTTAATTTGTTTTTCAAGTTCCTTTCTTTTTTGAGAAAATCTATTTTTTCAAGCCCTTTTTTTAGCATTTTTTAAAAACACGAAAATTTAAATTAAAATAATTGCACTCATGATTTTTTATTCAAATAACCAGTTCCGTTTTTTCTGTTATGTCGCTAAGATCAAAAAATATTATTTATATTTCATCAGTATGTAATTTGATTAAAACTACTTTTACGGATTTTAGCGCGTTTATTTTTACTTTTATTTGTAATTCCCGACGTTTCGGGCGCTTTCCAGCACCCATGGTCACGGGGGACTGATGAGTTGAGTATGTAATTTGTATTTAAATATAATTTCCAAAACACACGAATTAAAAAAAAAAATCGAGCGAAAAATACCGAGCAACGCTCGGTCAACCAGGTACTACCATTATTAAATAAGCTATCAGATGATGTATAACTTGAATACAGGTTTACTTCGAAAGCGATACTAATTTGAAAGTGAAAGTAAGAAAAGTACTTTTTTCGCCAATTTTTTGCAGATGTAATAAAAGTAAAATAAAGCCTTTATTCCAAGTACTATTTGTTTTACTTGTACATCCAAAGCATATTTAAATATAGAAAAACGAAAGAAAATTTTCATAAATTTTTTGTCGACAAGGTCGAGAAAGGCCTCACATAGCTCTACTCGACATCGGGACAAAAAGTAAGGAGGTTCATAAAAAACACATTATTAAATCAAATTTAGACAACATCAAACAGATGACAGAAAGAACAGATGCAGATATATACGTCATATATATATATATATATATATATATATATATATATATATGTGTGTGTGTGTGTTACAGTTAGTTTGCTATCACTCGACGCCATATTATGGCGTTTGACAGATTAGTATTTGAGATTTAGATTAGAAAGATTTTAGATTATCAATTGAGACGCCAGAATATGGCGTTCGGACAGCCGAGCGGCTAACATCCATGAGATGAACTGTGTTCTGGCTTGTCACACTTATTCTATAAAAACAATGAAATTAACACTTACAATCTCGCGTCCGTTTACTCTCGGCTTAAACATCTCTCGTCAGATCGTTAAGCCAATCCCAAAAAGGTGGAGTTTAGTGGGTAAAAAAAATATGAGCATTCACCACCTCCCTCCCCCGTTAACGGAGGGTTGCCCTTATTTGCTTCGGGCGCAAAAAAACACTTATAATCATGAATTCCCTTCTCCCCCCCCCCCTTTTTTTATAAAAAACCAAAAAAAAAAAAAAAAAAAAACCCCACTCCACCCAGACCTTTAATTAAAAAAAAAAAGTTATTGCCCCAAACACACCTAAAAAAAAAAAAAAAAAAAAACTCCCACCCCCCCCACCCCCAAAACCCCCACAAAACCAAAATACCACAAAAACTCATTAATGTTACGTATGTATACTCGAATAATATGTGGCTCTAATAGATATTAGAATTGATATAAAATATAAGGATGGTCAGGTTTTAAAAAAAAAGGTGTACAGTTTACTTTTAATTTATTTAATACAAAAAATTCAATTTCAAAATGTTACACTTGTTTCTAAATATCTAATAGTAATAGTACGGATAAAAGTTAAAGAATAATACAGTCAAGGGCAAACTAGGCAAATAAATATTATTTTCGTTTAATATACTATGCAATAACAAAATAATATACAGAAACTAATGTTTAAGTACCGTACCATACACTTGACAATTTATAATACACAATATTAACTTTCTTTAATCATTATTATTACTGTAAGCACAGAATAAATAATAGCTGTAAGGTAAAGTTTTTTCTCTGGACCTTCTCGTCGGTGCTATATCCAGTTACACTCATTCGGATTTAACGCAATGCACAGGAAATGTTTCAATTAGTAGACGATAAAATTACAGAATGCAATTCAAATTCAAAATTTTTCTTGTAAGTTGTTCCATTAGTTAAAGGTGCAATCAGTAGAGACGAGCAGAAGGCAACAAGTATTTTAATCTAAACTTAAATTACATGATACGAATTGTTTTTATGAAATTACTTTAAAAAAAAATGGAAACAAAATAAAAATCATAATGTCGCATTGCTAAGAAAGAAATTAAGAGAAGAAAGAGTTTGGATCAGTTTATTGCGAAGAAAAAAAACATTAGGAATGTATTAAGGTATTCCAACCACCAACACTATAATTTAGAAAATTATTGATTATTGAGACTGAAAATTTACAGAAATATTTCGAATTATCGAACCATGCCCTTTATAATTCATAAGAAAAAGGTTTTTTTTTATCTTGGTGGCGACTTGACGTCTTCTCGCATAAAAATAGATATTTTTTTATTTATTTAAAATATGCGCAACTCTTGTCCGCGTTTTCCGTCCGGTGGGTTTTCTAGCGTCGCAACCAAAAAAGGTACTTCTATTTTTATGATTTATTCATTGAATACGCTCCGTTTTAAAATTAAAATAAATAATACACTTGAATGAAAACTCATTTGCAATCTTAGTAGAGGGTATATTGTTAAAATTATTAAGTGTGTGTCAAATGTCATTAATCGGTTTTTAGTTACCCACTTTTATTCTTTAGTGTTTAATGTCCTGTCGCTAGGACGCTATTTAATACTATCATTAAAATCGTATCACTGATTTAAGTTGTGCCTTCCACTTCGTTTTCACTGATAAATATGGATCTAAGCGAAGCAGAAGTTGTTCGAATCGTAACGTTGTTACAAACTGGAATGAGCCAGCGAAATGTCGCTCGACAATGTGAAGTAAGTCGATCAACGGTTCAATATGTCAACAAAAGGTATCTAGAGACCGGTGGCTATATCAGAAGACCTGAATAAGGTCGAAGAAGGAAGATATCTGAAAGGTATGATCGATATGTAGTGTCAGCAAGCCTCAAAAATCATTCTGGAGTAGAATTGCAGCACCTGCTCAGAGATGTCCGAGGTGTCGCTGTAAGTGCTAGGACAATAAGAAGATAAGACATACAGACCTGCCACGAGTCCTAAACTTATCACAGCTCATAAGGCAGCAGGTTACATTATGCTCGTGAACACCGTGACTGAACTGGCACTGGCACAATGGGGGCAATTACTCTTTTCTCACGAGTCTCGTGTGTTTATATGGTGCCGGTGTCTGATATACTCTTTTGCGACCATGCAAAAGAGTATATCAGAGACCGGGAGAACAAAATGCACAAGGTGACATGAAAGGGTAAACTTTGGAGGTGGTTCACTTTTGTTCTAGGGAGGTATAAGCTTAGAAGCCCGTACAGAGTTGGTTACCGCTGATTTGTACATTACTGACATTCTTGAAGAGTGTGTAGTACCATACTCGGGCTTCATCGGTCAAGAATTTAAATCAATTCACGATAATGAGTGCCAACACACTGCGATGTGCTTTAGAAATAACTTGCAAGAAGTTTGGATACAGGTTCTGGACTGGCCAGCACGAAATGTAGACTTTTTTAGCTGACTAGTTTAGCTCGTCCCATAAATGTCCCATAGAACATTTATGGGACGAGCTAAAACAGCGAGTAAGACAGCGAGATCCAGATTCAACATGCAACAGCTAAAAACGGCTTTATTGATTAATGGGAAATCATGCCCCAATCTACCATTAAAAACTTGATACAATCCACGAACAAGGACAGGATGGTATGTGTTATGTGTTAATAAAAAATAAAGAAAGAAGAAGAAGCAATACTTCTTATTAAATAAAGATTGACATCAGCGACACCATTTTAATTTTTTTATCAGTGTAAAGTCGTTGTAATTTTTTCTTCATTTTTTATTTTTCTTGTGTATTGCTAAAAAATGAAGTTGATTAATTTAAAAATGCATTATTAAATTTTAGAAATAACACACAATCAATAAAAAATATTTAATGATTATTATTTTTAAACACAGCTACGACAACCGGTTTGGTAGGTGACCTAATTTTATTGTCCACTCCTATATATTGCTATAGTACATTCTATGGACGTAACTTTAAGAGACTTACATTAGAGCATACCATTTCTTGATATACCGATATAAATTCGAAGAAATTTTTGAAAACCTGCACATATTCTTCTGAGAAAAGTACTCCGCTAAGACGAGCGAGCGCACTGCATATTTTTTGAAATAAATTGGGAATTCCCATGTTGAAGTTACCTATGTTTTCATACAAAAAAATTTCTTTATGTAAGTCAAGTTGTTTTACTGTCGATGCAAATTGCTTTCTCTGTGATTTCCATTCACCAGTACATATAATGCAGTTACAAACATTCTCAAACAGTTTGAATGACAAACAATTTCTTGCAAAAGGTTCATCACTATATACTAAATAATGGCCCCTAAAACAAAAGATATTAATTAGAAACTAAACAAATCAGTGGACTATAACGACAACCTCGGTGTAAGACGAAGGGGGATGTAGTGATGGGAAAACAATATAATAACAGCTCAGGCCCAGAAGAACTTCGACGACATTAACAGATTAAACATGTAATTACATTTCCAACGATGGATAACAATTATTATCTGTTGGGTTTCGTGGGCGAGGACGGGGCCGGCCCCCCACCATCCGTAACATTCTTCATTATTTTCATCAAAGCCTTTCAAAATCCACAGCTGAACACAGGCCTCCCGCATAGATTGGTGTCACGCTCGGCAGGCGAGTAGAAAAACGCCATTTTTTTATTATTTGAGTTCTTATCAAGAAGATGCTGCTGCCCATCTCCTGTTTCACTTACCCTTTATTGCCTATTACGGAATGATTTTGTGTTATCATATAATTCTTTATATACAATAAATTTCTCATTTAAAAATCAGTACAGGAAACATACTTAACCATAGCGTTACGTTTGCCCTAAAGTATTATTGTTGAACAATTATCGATTACCGGCATTATGAAAAAAAAAAAACAAGAAAATATACTTACATGTAAGAAACAGTTAACTCTGATCCCTTCTTTATAGGCTTCAACGCAATCAACAACATTTTTTTATTTAAATTGATAACAAGTACATTTGGGCTGCAAGAATCTTTTAATTTACCAATTAAAGGATACCATCCGTAATTTGAAATTGGATTAAAAAACGTTTTTTTATTTATGATATCTGTTACATGGAGATTAACTGATGTGAGGGGAGCGTAAAGGCAAAAGTACATCATGATTCTTGCCAATGCTTTCTTTGCAAGTTTCCTTTCATCAAATGACCGAGGCAAATAGCAAGATATTTTTTCTAAATAATAAATAACAGCAGCACATACAAAACTATCCGAATACATTGATCCATGTACAAAGAGCCGATTATTTTTAAAATTTAGTACCGAGAACTTATTTTTGACATCGTACATTTCCTGTTCTGAACTGATGCGTATCCTGTCACAACCAGTGCAATGCGAAGATGAAATCACTTTTTTCCATGACCCACACATTTGGACAAATTTCAAAGTGCCTTTTATCATCAATTTCGTCTTAGTTAAATAAGCTATGCTTTGAATAACATCCATAATTTGACATTCGATGTTATGATACTCTTTTAAGCACATTTCTTTGCATTCTTCACTACAAAACAAAACTAAGCAACAACCTTCACATGGTATTAGGTTCAAAGACATTTTGTGGCAGTAATGGCAAGAAAATGGTACATTTTCCTCGCTATTATAACTTACAAACGAATCTTCTAAAACTAGGGGAGTTCCCACTTTAATATCTTTTGCTGCAACTACTTTAAAAGCATCTCCTTTTATAAATTCTATGTCAGAACTGGCGCAAGGAATGGGAGTATTGCTTTTAAAATCAAACTTAAAACAATCTTTAATGAAACCAGTAAGCAAATTATTAGCAGACATATTTTCCATTTCACTTCTTTTTGTAGCTTCCTTTTTCCTCTTAATAAGCTTACTTTGAATGTCTGTGGGGCAACCCAGTTTATAACAAGTTTCTATGTCAATTAAGCAAGCTCTAAATTGTTTCAATTTAAATAAGATTGCTGACCTGTTGCTATAAGCAAGTTTTATGGCTCTTGAATTTTTCGGCGCAAACATCAGAGCTCTATTGTAAAATTCTAGTGCTCTGTTTAAATTTCCTACTTTAAATGCTATATTACCTTCTTCCCGATATTTATCAGATCTATGCTCACATTTGTTTTCTTTTTCTATCTTTGGTAAACAGCCACTTTCCTCAAGTACATGGAGAGCAGCCATAACTACATCGGAGTAATCGTCGTTCTTCATTGCTGCGTAGATTTGATTGACAAGACCACGCTCTCTTAAATAATTATTAAAACATGCATGCATATAAACCATCTTGCTTCTGAAAACAGTATTCAGTTAATTAAACATCGGTAATAACTTATGGCATAGTGTGACGGCGCATTATTATTAGAAATACTATATTAATTTATTTCTTTATGAATCGTTTAAAAACATATTAAAAGTAATATTTTGAACAATTAAAATGCATTCATAACCACAAAGTTAAAATACATTCATATTGAACATTAAGTAGTATGGTATACATTGTCTTTAAAAATATCATTAAATTTACTAAAATCTGCATAAAATATTCAAAGTTTCAAATAACAAAAATACAAGTCAATTATATTACAATAATAAAAGTTTTATATTATAATTGTGAAATGGGTCAAAATATTTCAGTTAGTGTGTTCGTGCAATGCTATTGCGTGGTGATGTATAATGTGCGTGTTGATGTTATAGTAACTCGTAATCGTAACGCTTGATTTTATATACCATCAGACCGCCACACATATGTGTGTGCGTTGGTCAGGCGAATGACTAACGAAGTACTGTTACTAAATGTAACAGTACCATATTAAGGACTTATAAGTCGCTAAGATGCATAAGCATTATAAAAGCAGAGTTGTGACTTGAAGCACAGAATAAATAATAGTACAGAAGTTGCACTCATTTGATACTGACTGCTTGCCGACGTTTAATTGCCTGCATAATTATTATTAATTAGATAAATCGCGCTCGGAAGCTAAATAAAACTTTATCACTGCGCGAGAGTGTCCGTATTACTTCGCATCTTTTACCCTTCCTACGTTACGACGGACTTTCCGTTGTTACTAAGGAATGGTCAATAAAGAGTAACAAAATACGTTCTATGATCGACTGACCATATTATCGCCCCTGTGTGAGTTCTGCGATGCCTAACGGATGCAACTTGCAAAACCATTTGTCGGGAATCGCGATGCTTTGCTCGGAAGAAAAAGGTAGATAATGTAAACAAAAAATAAACTGCAAATACGATTGCTAACAGAAATGTAATCGTATTCTACTGAGTTAAAATGTTTGTTAGTAAACAAAGTTTTAATTTCAGTGTTTTGTGTTGTTATAACTTAAAATATTTCAAATACAAAAGACTAGTATAGGTATATAAGTGGATACTTGGATAGTGAAGTAAATTTCGACAAAATTTTGTTATAATGGTATAATTATAAAGCGATTAAACTTTTGAGTCAAAATGATGCTTTATAACGCTCTTGTTGATTCAGTCATAACTTTTGGGCTAAGCAGCTATGGACGAACAGAAAAATCACACCTACAGTCATTGAAGTAATATATACTTACGTACTAGAACAGCTATCTCAAACAAAAAATTTTCGCTACTCTGTGTTCGCGCGGTTGGTTTTTTATCACAGAATAAACCTAGGTAGAATGAGCCGTAGGTAATAGTAGATTGTATTGTTAAATAGGTAAATTATATCGAGAACAATATTTAAATTTTGTCATTTATTTTTTATATTTTATTTACTTATTTATATAATATTACATAATATTGTATCACAATTACATTTTAATGTCAAATAAGTATAAAAAAAATATTGAATGCATGTTTAACAAATCTTATTTGTACCGAACATTTAAATTACAAATATATTTATTTAAATTAGAATAAGTCGTTCATAAAGGCTAGGCACGCGAGAGTTAAAAATGGTCGAATTTATTCCACTTTGACTTTGATGTGGAAATCTTAAAATAGAATAAAAGAATAATAAGCATATTTAAACATGAAAAATTTAGCCTAATTATAATAACTTATATGTTTCTACAAAAAATGTGTATAATAATATATTCGTCCTATACTTAAGACATGTCGCATCTGAACATATTAATTTCATATTCTATATTCCATGACACGAGCTCAGACGAAATAAATACTCTTATTTTGTCTGAGGACACGAGATGGCGTCTTAGGAACAATTTGTTTTATTACTAATCTATAATACTTTTCTATTGATTAAGTATCCTATTAACCGATGAAAAGTAATTCCTTGGTTTTTACTGACATTTCTTGAATTATGTGTACAATATCTATGTTGATGCTCGTGTGTGAGAATGTTAGTAATGGAGCGAGTTTGCTGGCGAGATGTCAACTGAAGAGCATGCAGTAGCAGTAGGATGAGCAATAATAACACTTCTTCAGAGTTTTCTTCTATTTATTTTCTTGATGTTTTTATTCTTACATTGCCGGATTTGGAATTTTTAACCACAAAAACCGCCTCTTTTTTATAGGCAATTTCGACCAATCATAATTGTTGAATTTTGCACACGGCACTAACGAATTGCACACGTCACTAACGATTTTCCGTCAACCAATCAGAGCGCAGAGCGACCTTTTCTAAGGGAAACTTACAAATTTCTTTCATTTTTGTGGTAAAACATCCCTTACAATGTTTTTATACATTTCTGGTATTAGAACCAGTTTATATTTATCATATTAAACACAAAACATTCTCAAAACCCTTAATTTACACCTTTAAAAAATAAAAATATTGAAGCGGTCTTCTTATGGTTTAGATCCCTAGTAGCTAAGCTTTTTTCCGCGTTACATACACGTAGCGCTGCCAGGCGGCAGGAATGCACATTGCTTATTGTGATAACATTACGCTTAATCTTAAGAAACTATGCAGAGTACATATTGAACTTCTTATTGACTAAAATCTATTTTTATAATAGGAAACGAGATTTTACAAGTAGTTAAATCACGTATTGTTGTAGCAATTGGAAAAAGAATGAAATTATTAAAAATAAAAAGAACCTGAAAAAAATTAACCAAGAACTCAAAGGAAGTTTTGGAAAAGCGTAAAACGTTACAAGCCAAGCTAGCTGAAGAAAGGAAAAAAGGCAATTATGCGTATTTGAAATATGATAAACTAATTGTTAAAGAGAATCAAAAGATCCAAAAAAAGAAAAAGAATCATCTACCTCACCCACTGCTGATCACCCCTTATCACCCATTACAAATCAAAAAACAACAGATTGTAGCTGATGATGATTTCTAACATTTCTAATAAATTCAAATAAGTAATTGGATTCACATTTCGTTACTAACTTTCTTTACGTAGTTTTAGATTGCAAATGAGAATAAATTGCAAATAAATAAATAATTTCACTTTTCGTCGCTAACAACCTAAGTACGCACGACGGCATATTTTTATCAAGAGATTTTTTTTAAACCAACACAACACGTGACAACTCTACAAGCGCCTAGCGAGGTAGGGAGTAGACGTGGGCGTTATTTCACGTCACTAGATACAGTAACTGGCTACGCGGCATGTAACCGAATCACTAGTTTCGAGTCATGTTACAAGTAGTGATTTTTGTAAATGCGTGATTATGATTACTGTTAACCATGATTATTGCGGGAGTCGACTGTCGGTCGCTCGAGCGCAAAGCGCACATGTGGCATACAACAATAAACAAACCATCGTAAGTAACAGTATTATTGTACGTTTAATTTTCATACGTAAGACTATAGCCATAGACAATAAAATAGAGTAATCTCTGTTTGTAAATATTTTCAACGGTTTGCGATTCCGGGAAGCGAGTCACATTGAATTTAACTAAAATAATTTTTAAAACAATTTTGACGGAGTCATGAACTCGTTTATTCATAAAATTAAAATAAAACTAAAAATGTGTATAAAAAATTTAAATGTTTATAACATTATAAAACTTAAAAACTGTGTGTAAATAGCCAAACAAACAAACAAACAAATTAATTGTACAGTGTAAATAAAAGTGCAAAAACAAATGACAGTGAAAACGTTGAAAAAGTGTAAATAAACTGTAAATATCAATAATCATTGTATATACAATCAAATTGACTTGTAAATATGCCTGCATTAATAATTTTATGAAAATATTAGTGTCATAGTAAACGCAAATCAATCATAAATACATTTAATGCAGTCAGTCCTAAACCTGAATAAAGTATGAAGGGAAGTTAATTTATTGATTTAACACTATACAGTTACTGTATAACTAAAAACACAGATTGTGATTAAATTTATTTTCGTTTCGTGTGTAACTGTATAGTTGGTGGTGATATTTATGCAAACAATCACACTAGCCGAATAAAAATAGCCAGTTACAAAAATCACTAGTTTTTAAACAGGTGACGCCGATCAAGTCACTGGTTTCGTTACGTTTCTTGAAAATGACGTAACGACCCACGTTTAGTAGGGAGTGACTGATTATAGTGCGGTGTATGCTCCGCAGTTGAGTGGAACAGAGTAGCTGAATGAAGTGTTTCCTCTAGTATGTAGTAAATAATAGCTTAATGCGTCTACAGAACATTTATCAACTACAAATTAGGATTTTAAATGCGATTGTACCTATAAAAATTAAACTTCAAGCAATAACAAATGAAAACTTTATGTTTAAACACCGTAAGGCACTCAATATCTATGATAAAGTCCAATATCAATTGTTAAAAGAGCAATTCTTTAATTTAGGTATACCTACAACATAGTCTCAAACAAAATCCAGACACGCAAAGTAGTTCACAAAAATTAATTACAATACAATCCAGTAATAAGTATAAGCGCACCAGTACGTACATAATAGCTCGCTTAATAAATAATGCAATGGTAAAAATAATAAATAAATGGTCTGGATAATAAATTTAGAAGTGAACTTACAGAAGTTAACAAAGTATAAATTAAAATGTTATTTCCTTAACAAAAATTAGCTGTTATCCCCATTTTCGTTATAAATAATATTGTAACAATGTAGACGAAACGGCACACAACACAAACCTGTGTGGTTTTTGCTGTGCCATATAGCAAATTTATAAGAATATAATATATCTCAAAATAAAAAATACCGATATTGTCTTAGCTCGATAGAAAAGTCTGATAAAATTCAAGTAAAGTCTAAAGATCTCAGCCTAAGAAAGCATTTATAAAAGAAGTAACGCCCAATGA